TGTTCACAACAAGATGATCAGAAAACAAAAACCTTGCAAAATCTATTCAAGATATCCACATTCAATCCAAAAGCGAGTCCACAGCACACGGATACTGTATAGCTTCTGTACACCTAGAAATCACTCTTTGTTCCAGAAGAAGCGTAGAATTTCCGAAAAATCCATCCCATTGAGTCTAATTGCTGGTAGTTGTGGCCCTTGAAACATGCACTACGCGGAGGTTGCTATAAAAGCTGAGAAGTTTTAAAATGCTACAATATTGGTCGGACAATTTCGGAACAATTGATTCCTCCAATTACTCGGAAATATTTTGAAAAGAAGAATATGCAAACAGAAGAGTGTGTGTGACCTCACAGAAAATTAGCCTATTGACTCATGTCCCAGAGATAAATTACACCGATGACTTCCAACAGATTGTAACTCTGAAGTTCGAAGTGTCTCCGTCTAGGCCAAAAATTTACATTTTCATTCATAGAAAAACCAATTTCTGCACCCAAGAATGCTCAAATTGCAACGGGATACAAGACACGTCATAAAATAAACCTCCTAACAAACATAAATCGTTGAACAAAATTGCGGTCAAAGGTGAGCAAAGAAATCACGACATTATCTTCATAATACATTCTACCTCTTCAATTAAAACTTCAAGGAATCAGGAAAATAATCAACTTAGGGAAACAATCAATTTTGTTGGGGAAAAGAAAGAAACAATTACAAGAAATTGTAATTGGTGATATTCTGGCCTCGAATTGCTTCTTAAATGAGTTGTCAGGATGCTGAACTTGGAGGCAAGGGTCCATTTACCCAATTTGGCTTCTTTCAAGTTACAAAACATACCAAGTTACATTTTTTTTTATTCTCTTTCCTTTTTCATAAAATAATGGCCAAAATGCCTCGAGAAAATCCATCTTCCAGATTCAAGGGGGAACGCCTTCGAGTTTGGGGACTGTTTCCAAAGGAATTCACACATGGACTTGAAAATTTTTTAAATAAGGAGGTATTCGACTCAGGAAGCTTAGCGTTAGCGAGGTCAAACTATGGAAGATTACTTTAAATGGTACAGAGCGTCAAGGATTAGCATCCCTTAACACATATACAGTATCTACAAGATTACCAGAACCGGACAGAAAATTCGGTTACCCTGGAATTGATTGTCCAGCAATGTGCAACACTCACCGGGGAGAACTGAACTATAATTCTTAGCGCCTAAATCATACCGACTAGATGCAGGATTCGGTAGCAAAATGTTTGCATTGCCCACGTTTTCGGTGCTCAGTTAACGGATTCAGCAAGACACTCGTATCACCACATTCAGACGCGCGCGAGAGAAAAACAACGAATGCGCAAGCAGTCGCGTTACAGCACTCAACACCACGGATAAGATGCGAAGAATGAGCATCATCTGCCGCGATGAGATGAATGGGAAATGGCGCGGATCCGCCAACCATGACGTTGGTCGGTCGACATTGAAGCGACTGCAGAGCTCAAATCTTAAGACCGGCGAAGAGCTCAGTAAGAGGGCACGACACAGTTCGTCATCAGACCGGAAAAAATGTCTCTCAAGAAAAATCAGCAAGTTCCGAGAACTCCAAGTGCATTGTTCCTCACGACTGGGATTCGAACGCACTCTGCCAATTGGCGCGAAAAAAATTCCTGTTCTTTTTTAAGGGTTCAAGACGTTACTGTGCTCCGGATAAGTGACAGTCGGACAAGGTAGCCAAGAAGGGATTAATTTCAACATGAAAGTTGACACATGCTCCTAAGTCACAAACTTTCCACAAATTAAAATTTGATATCCTCAGCATAGTCAGCAAGATTGAAAATATACGTATACAGTACTGAAAAAACACACTGTACTACCGCTTGTTTCACATTATTCCGGAGGCCGATCGTACAAAGGTGGATTAATAGGAGCGCCAAGTTTTTAATGACGATGGCACCTTGAACACAAACTGAAGATATTCATTTCAAATGTAAAACGCAAGAAATTACAGTATAAAAATACCGTGCCACTGCAACCAAAATTAGACGAAGGGAAAAAGACCAGATTTCTTTACTCAGGCTCAATTATCAGCATAACTAGAGTAAAGTCAAAACGCTTCCCTCGTCTTAATTTTTCGGGTCAAAACTATCTGAGCAGAATCGTGTGCATGCCATTTGCGTCGATAAGGCAGTTTCCTTTGCGAAATTTTTAAGGAGAAGCGAACTCAATCCACTCCTCTAGCAAATATTGTGCCCAAGCCCGATGAAGCAGTGGAAGGAGCAGATGCGCTCAGACTTCGGCCCACGAAATCGCAGAATAGCCATTACGAGCACGTACAGCCTGTTATGAGGGTGATTTCACGCAGCGAGGATCATGTGGCACAATGATGCCCATCCTCCCGTCACATTCAGAGTAATTCACCATCTGGCTCCCGACGACGATGCCATGGCTCACAGAAGCAAATGAGACGAATTTTTCTCTCACGCTGGGCAATCGATCAGGACAAAAGGAATGCTCGCATTGAACCACAGCAGCCAGCCGCAGTTCGTTCACTCCGTAACGAAAACATCTCACGAGCTCACTGAGCGTGAAGCCCCCCTTTGGACATACTGTACTGTACTGTAACCAGGAATCTACCTTTCCGAAAAAGGGCTTCGTTCACCTGATGCACGGCTGATCACACCGCATTTCTTCCCTCTTCTTCTTCACTTATTCTTATGACTTGACCACCAGAACGGTATGGTTCGGTTCGGCCCAGTCCAAGACAATACAAAGCGGTTCTCTATCTTTAGATGCGCTCCGACTTTGAGATCGCGAACTGCGGGAAACCTTCCCGCATATCTCGCATCAAATCATACAATTCCCTCGTTCGCGCTTCACTCACCTAAGCACGCCGCCGACTTGAATCAGCGACTTCGATTAAAAATCTTTATCGATGCGATTTATTTTCGGTCGTCATTAAATGGCGGCAATCGTCGCACTATGTGACGTCACACGTTGACACAACGTCGTGGAACATGTGATCAGTCGCACTGTACACAACTTTTTTTTTTCTTCACTTATCCGTTGACGCTGCGTGAAATCCAAAGCGGTTCTGACGCTGAAGTGAGCTCACTTAGTTGAGGAAGTTAGTTTTGGGCCGGCAGGGCTTCGCGCGCCCAAGCCCGCGCAGAATACCTGCCGGTGCGGTTCGATTCATGGACGGAAAAATCGTATACAGTACGGTGAACTTTGTTTTCTTAAGAGTGAAACAGAAAGGACCTTGCTAAAATTTTTACGTAATTTTTCAAAACTATTGGATCCGGACACAGGCTTGCAAACTTGAGTTTTCGTTGCAATCACTTGCTGAAGAGAGGAGTGATGATACCTGAAATCCTTCAAGCAGGTTGATAATCCACAGGAACAGTCGAAGCTAACCACAGAACGTTTTGAGCGACATCAAATTATTCCGAGCATTCAAGGCTATTTGATTTCCTCAC